CCTTCGGGACGGCGGTGGCCTTCGCGGCCGGCTTTGCCGCCGGCTTGGCGGCGGGCTTGGAGACGGCCTTCGGCCACGCGCCCTGCTTGGCGGCCGCGGCCGCCTTGCGCGCGGCCACCTGCTCGGGGGTGCCTCATCCTTTAGTCAACCCGTATGATAAGGATGCACGATAAGGATGCAAGGGCCTTGGGCGCCAATTCGAGAGCTTCTCGAGCGGGGCGCGGCCAATGAAAGTGGCCAAGGATGGGCCGGGAAGGTAAGGATGCAAGGGTACCCTTGGGAAAGTCGCCCATCCTTACTGTGCGGGTCGACTGTACTGCTTTCGCCTCGGCTCCCGGTGGCCGTGCCGCTGCTCCTCTTCCCCTCCCCTGCGAGGACGGCAGCTGCTGCCTCCTCCAACTCCTGCTTCCTCCAGCCTGCCTCCTGCGGCCTCCTGCAGACGCCTCCAGGCCTCCTCTGGCCTCCTTCTCCTCCTCCGCCTCCTTCTTCTCCGCCTCTTTCTCCCCATCCTTCTCCTTCTCCTCCTCCTCCACCACCTCCTCCTCCTCCTCCTTCTCCTACTCCTCCTCCTCCTCCTCCTCCTCCTCCTCCTCCTCCTCCTCCTGCTCCTCGTCCTCCTCCTCCTCCTCCTACTCCTCCTCCTCCTCCTCCTCCTGCTCCTCCTCCCCCTCCCCTCCTCCTCCTCCTCCTCCTCCTCCTCCTCCTCCTCCTCCTCCTCCTCACCCTCCTCCTCCAAATCCTCCAACTGCTCCTGCTCCTCCTCCTCCTCCTCCTCCTCCTTCTCCTCTTCCTCCTCCTCCTCCTCCGCCTCCTCCTCCTCCTCACCCTCCTCCTCCTCCTCCTCCTCCTCCTCCTCCTCCTCCTCCTCCTCCTCCTCCTCCTCCTCTTCCTCCTCCTCCTCCTCTTACTCCTCCGCCTCCTCCTCCTCCTCCTCCTCCTCCTCCTCCTCCTCCTCCTCCTCCTCCTCCTCCTCCCCCTCCCCTCCTCCTCCTCCTCCCTCCTCCTCCTCCTCCTCTCCTCCTCCTCCTCCTCCTCCTCCTCCTCCTCCTCCTCCTCCTCCTCCTCCTCCTCCTCCTCCTCCTCCTCCTCCTCCTCCTCCTCCTCCTCCTCCTCCTCCTCCTCCTCCTCCTCCTCCTCCTCCTGCTCCTCCTTCGCCTCTTCCTCCCTATCCTCCGCTTCATCCTCGTGATTTCCGTAGTGTTATTCCGTTTCCTCACCCTCTCCCTACCCCTCATACTCATCTTCATCCTCATCCACATCGTCATCGTCGTCGGCATCACCATCACCACCACCACCACCACCACCACCACCATCATCATCATCATCATCATCATCATCATCATCATCATCATCATCATCATCAGCAGCAGCAGCATCATCATCAGCAGCATCATCAGAATCATCATCATCATCATCATCATAATCATCAGCATCATCAGCACCAGCATCATCAGCATCATCATCGGCATTGACATCGTCATCATCAGCATCATCATTTTTTTCATCAGCAGCAGCACCACCACCATAATCCTCCTCATCAGCATCATCATAGTCATCATCATCACCATCATCATCATCAGCATCGTCGTCATCATCATCATCATCATCATCATCGTCGTCGTCGTCATCATCATCATCATCGTCATCGTCATCTGCATCGTGATCGTCATCGTGATCGTCATCGTGATCGTCATCGTCGTCGTCGTCTTCATCATCATCATCATCATCATCATCAGCAGCATCACCTTCATCATCATTATTATCAAAAGCACCATCATCATGATTAGCATCCTGATCATCCTCCTCCTCATCACCATCATTATCGTCATCGTCATCGTCATCGTTGTCGTCTTCTTCTTGATCATCATCATAAACATCATCAGCATCACCTGCATCATCATCATCATCATCATCATCATCATCAGCATCATCATCATCATCATCATAAGCAGCAGCATCACCATCATAATTAGCACCCTCCTCCTCAGCATCCTCCTCGTCATCCTCATCATCCTGATCCTCATCCGCATCAACATCAGCATCATCACCATCACCACGATCAGAATCATCATCAGCAGCATCAGAATGATGATGATGACGATGATGATGATGATCATCATCATCATCAGCAGCATCAGCACCGCCACCATCAGCATCACCATCATCACCATCATCACTACCACAATCATCATCAGCATCATCAGCATCATCAGCATCATCAGCATCATCAGCATCATCATCATATTCATCATCAGCATCATCATCAGCATCACCATCATCAGCGTCATCAGCATCATCATCATCATCGTCATCATCAGCAGCATCAGCATCATCACCAGCAACATCAGCATCCTCATCATCTCCATCATCATCAGCAGCATCATCAGCAGCATCAGCAGCAGCAGCAGCATCAACTAGCCCATTCCTCACACAAGCAAATGCGCTACCTTTCCTCCTGCTCGTGTTGCTGCTCCTCCAACCACCTGCTCGGGCTCCTCCTCCCCCTCCTCCCCGCCTTCTCCTTTTCATCCTCCTTCTTCTCCGCTTCCTCCACCACCTCCTGCCCCCTCCTGGTCGCTGCTCCGCGCCCCCCCCCCCCCGATCCCGGGTGTGCCTGGCTGGCGAGCTTCGCCTGGGCGGCGACGAATTCCCTTGTGGCGGCGCCTGTGGACAGACAGGGGAGGGAGGGCAGAGGGAGAGGGGGGCAGGAGGGGGCAGGAGCCCAGAGGGGGATGAGGGGGAGGGAGATGATGAGGGGGAGGAAGGCTGCAGCTGAAAGGCGGTCACGAGCACGCGGGTCGTGAATCAAACGCCCCTTCGCCGAGGGGCCAGGGCCCCACGGAGACACGCCAACCCAAAAAGCAGCCCAAGGCGGAGAGCCCGAAGGTGAAGAGCACGAGGGTCCTCCTCCAGGGCCAGGGCTGGCCCCAACCCTCGTGCCGGCCGTGCTGCGCAGCGCGGCCCTGCACACCCTGCCAGATCTAAAGGGGGCCCCAGGACACACAAGCAGATGCACACAAGTGAAGATACTCCCCCCATTTCCCCATATTTTTGTTGGGGGGGGGGGTTCGTCTTCCCCCCCACTTCCCATATCTTTTCCTATCTCCTGGGGAATCGACGATCAACTGTGTCTCTGTGTTCTTTTCCCTCCTGGAGATCATGCGCGGCCCGCTGCCGCGTGCTGCCCTCGAGCGCCGGCCTGAGGCCGCGCAGGCGACCGCCGGCAGGCGCGGCCGCCGGCTGCCCCGGGAGCCCTCCGAGGCGGCACGGGAGGGCCCCGCGGAGGCCCCCCAGGACTCGGGCCGGGCGCAAGGGGGGGATAGCAAAGGGGGGGGGGAGAATCATCCCTTCCTCCTCCTCTTCTCCTCCTCCTCCTCCTCCTCCTCCTCGTCCTCCTCCTCCTCCTCCTCCTCATCCCTCCTCCTCCTCCTCCTCCTCCTCCTCCTCCTCCTCTCCTCCTCCTCATCCCTCCTCCTCCTCATCCCTCCTCCTCCTCCTCCTCCTCCTCCTCCTCCTCCTCCTCCTCCTCCTCCTCCTCCTCCTCCTCCTCCTCCTCTTCCGCCGGGAAAATCAGCTCACGTAGCTGATTTTCCCGGCGCCTCCCGGCGCCGGGAGGCGCCCATGTGTCGAGGGATGGGCCCGGCGGCGGCGGCGGCGGAGGCCCCCCAAGACCTGACGACCTACCAGACCACCACAACCCAACCCGAAGACCCGAATTTCGGGTTGGGGGGGGGTTAGGGTTCCATCTGTGCTTTTTCAATGTTCCCTGACCCCCCCCCCACCAGAAATGGAAGCCAAATTGAGGCCTTCGGGTTGGGTTGGGGTGGTTTGGTGGGTGGTGAAGACCCGCCAGGACCTCCTCAAGATGGTTCCGCCGAGCTCCTGCGGGAGCGCTCAATCGGCCCTCTCCAGATGCCCAGCGGGTCCCCAGCCTCCCAGCACGCTCCCAGCGGGCCCCCAGAGAGCCCCCAAGACGCTCCAAAGAGGCTTCGACGAAGTCTCCGCGATGCCTTCAACAGGGAGGAGGGGGGAAAGAAAAGAAAGGCTGAGGCACGAGGAGGAAATCGGAATCAAAGAAAAAATAAGGCTGCGGGCAAGAAGGCTGCGCTCAAGACCTGCGCCAACTCAGACAGAGCACTGGACCAGCACGAGCCGTGCATTGAAAGCGCACCCCCTCCATACTCTAGGACCGCTGCGGCAGATGAGGGAGGAGGGAGGAAGGAGGAGGGAGGAGGGAGGAGGGGCACGGGAGGAGGGAGGAGGGGGAGGGAGGAGGAGGAGGAGGAGGAGGAGGAGGAGGAGGAGGAGGAGGAGGAGAAGGAGGAGACGCAATTCCAGGCCCGAGGCAGCTCAGTACCCCGCCAGAGCTTGCGCAGGTCTGGAGCGCCACCTCCCCGACCTCTCTCCGTCGCTCGTGCTCTCCTGGTCTCCCGCCCCCCGCCCACGCCCGCGCCCACGCCGACGCCCACGCCCACGCCCACATGCAGACCTACGCCCACGCCCTCGCCCACGCCAACGCCCACGCCGACGCCCAAGCCCCACTCGCGCGCCTCCGCCCGCACCCACGCCCACGCCCACGCCCACGCCTACGCCGACACCCAGGCCCGCGCCCACGCCCAGCCATGCCCAACCCATACTCCCACCATCCACCATGCCTCGTTCTCGTACTCGTGGGCAGATGGAAACGAAGTCTTAACCTGAACCTCTTTCCTGCTTCGTTGCTGCGCTGGGACAACAGTGGGACTCGCCGCGGGCAGCTGATCCTGCCATCATAACTGGAACAGTAAGAAGGAGGAAGACAACGAGAGGGACAACAAAAAGGAAGACTGATAGGGGGAACATCGGATGAGAAGGTGGAGGAGGGGAGTAATGATGGTGGAAGAGGAGGCTGAGAGAGGGAAGGAGAAGAGAGAAATAGAAAAGGAAGGAGGAGGAGGCGAAGAAGGAGGAGGAGAAAGAAGGTTCATCCTCCTCTCCTCATCCCTCCCTCTCTTCTCTCCTCCACCTCCTCGTCCTCGTCCTCCTCCCTCCTCCTCCTCCCTATTATTACTATTATTATTACTACTACTACTAAAATTACTATTACTATTACTATTACTATTACTATTACTAGTAC